TTCACTGCGATGTCCGTTCGCTTATGGGAAATTTTTGCAGTGTATCAACGTCAACTAGAATGTGCTCTAGTGGATCAGTGGTACAAGATAAACAAGAGTACGCCCTAAAAAGAACATATAAAATATGGGTCTTTTAAGGCTAATTAAATTAAACGAGTATATACACACTTTCTTCCAATCATGCAGTCATTTCTTTGAGATTTGTTCTACGCACATGCCAAAAGATACAACAAAAAGTTTCCCTATTATGAAACAACAAAATATGTATATGTCGTGTGCATGACGGGGGAGCATTGAAGCTTGCGTATTGCCAATTTTGCTGGCTATTTGGACTGCTTCCATCGCTTGTATATTTATCTCATTCGCACACACTGCCTTCCTTTTTTCATAAGCTTTTACATCTCTGGAAGGGTATTAAAACAAAACAAAAAAGCTTCGTTACACATTTGTTTCGCTTGGTGTTACGTATGCGAGTGTGTGTGTATGTCTGTTTGTGAATGTGTGACGTGCTTTGTGGTCTCTCTGTTGTATACACGTTTTTAACCCCCTGAGGCCCACACCTCCCCAGACATTTTGAGGGGAATTTTTATTTCTTTTAAAGTTTTCTTTTACCCTCTGTGTGTTTGTGAACATTTATGACAGCTTGTAAATAATATTGTCTAACATTTTGCGGCTGCAACTAAGTAAATAAATGATTTTGCACTCCACCTCTGATCTGCGCCGTGGCCCCATCCTCAATCCAACCGCTATCTACCTTTCCCGCTCACACCACACACAGACACATTCTATTGAGAGCTATAAATCGCGAATGTTGTGTGTGTTTTTGTGTGTTGTGGGTCCCATCTAACTACCGGTTATCGCGGCTTTTGTTGTGGCACTGGGACCCCGAGAGGGACCCTTCTACTGGCGATTGCGCGACCGCAACGGAATAAAGTTTTATCGTCAATATATGTTTGTTTCCCCTGCCCTGCCCTGCTTTGATCTGCGATGCTCCTCTACATCCTCCACATCATCATCATACCACATCGTTTCGCAGCTCAAAATAAATACATTTTGCGCTTTTAGCAGTCCATAACAAAAGTTAAATAAAAGAAGCCGCTACATTTTTTGTTGTTTTCTTTTTTTCGTTAGCGCGTCTGTCTGGAAGTTTTTGTTATTTTATTTTGTATTTTGTTTTCTGTTTTCATTGAGGCACTCGTGCGGAGAGCGTTACCAAAACTTGAATCGTCCCAAACCTCCGAACTTCGAACCTAATGAGATTTTTTTTTGGTCCGCTTTGACAAGGGTTCGTTTATTGATGGATAGTCGTTTAATTCTTTGTTAATTTCGTTAATTTCTATCGGTAGTGAGTGATGATTCGGTACAAGTTACTGGTGGAAGTCTGCAATATTATAACTGTATTTAGCCAAAGGTCACAGTAGCTCTCCCCCTCCATGTTGCTGTAGTTTACAACTTTAAGTTCAAAGAGTGAAAATACTAAGGAAATATTTGATTCGTTGAATAGCTCATATACTAAATCCACGCGTTTAATCATTAAACTTTAATGTCATAACTAGTATAAGAGTAGCACCGTTCCACTGTAGAAGAGAAATCTGCTTTGGTTATCTACTATTACTATTTGCTCGAAATGCGATAGCACGTAAAGTGGTTGGTTCTAATGATAATAAATTCTTGTGGGTCAGAGCGAAATACAACATTTTACTGATCTTTAGAAATTTTTTGAGAAAAGGTCTTGGAATGTGGCTAAAAATCGTATACATTATTAATCTGTGAAGTTTTTTATTTTACGAAAAATGTTCTTGTTTTAAATCTCTTGGGTTTAAGTATTGTTATCGACCCAAGGGATTTTGCTTTTCAAGTGTTTCCCATATGGGAATATCCAAAAGTGTGCTTTATTTTTTCTCAGTGTATGGTACGCATGTGGCTCTCTGAGAATTGGACTGTTGCGAAAGATAAGTTCGAAATTGGAGTAGAGTGGAAACGACTGGAAAATGGAACGGCAACAGTTAATGATCCCCCAGTGACGAGACTCGCGCCTACATTTTTTCACGCTGAAGGGAATTCCTTGTGCTCCAAAGGTGGAGGGCGCTCATCCGTACACATATTCGTATATATTTTGTGGGTAATTTTAATTATTGCCCCCACGCATGGGTATTTTCGTTGATAATACCCCTGTGTTGCCCCTTCTAATTATATATTATATTGTTATGAATGGAATTCTCTTTGTGCCAAATATTTGCATAATTATGCCATTAGCCGACATTTCATAGTACAATATATGTATGTACCAAAAGAAAAACGAACGAATCAAATGGTCTGCTACTATTGTTCATATAGACTTTTTTTTTGTGTTTTTACTACAGTATTTCCAAAAATATTCCTAATAAAAACCCAAAAAATTAGACTAAACGTTGGCTAGCTCTTCCATGGAATCACTAAAAAGCCATTCAAAGTGTTGCAAAAACTTACCTGATAAGGGCTTGACTGTCCCACCTAATCCTCGAGCACAATCTTTCACGGCAACTGATTCATCAAACTGACTTTTGGCCAACAGGGGCGGCAGATGGCCTGGCCTGGCCTCTTATCAAAATGCAGAGTGAAGTATATATAATATGCCAAATTTCCAGCAAACTTCGATTATTCTAACTACTTCGGGGTAATTTTCATATCATTTCATAAAATTGTACAACTCTTGCTCGCTCTCGGCAGAAAGTCGAGTCTTATCATAGGCAATATAAAAGCACAGAGTCAACCTATTGGGATCTTCAGTTGTGTTCCTTCGATTGATCGTTAAAGGCGCTGGGTAAACTATCAAAAATATTATATTTACGGCGACAAATTTTTGTGTTTGTTTGTGTGCTTTGATTTTTGTAAACGATCCTTTATTTGTTTATAAACAATCTGTTTTCATTTTGCCACCTGACAGCAGCCAGGCGGAAAGGGCCCTCAGATAACGCACACTGGTGGGGGATCAGCTGGAGAACGGAAATTCCATTGAAAAGAAGCGGTGCCCAGAGTTTTCTCAGTTGTTTGCTGTTTACTTTTGTTGAGTTTTTCACCTTGATAACCTTAAAATTTGTGCGACGGCTGCTGCTGTTGCTGGCTGGCTGCATCGATCTCTCGTTTCATTAGACAGCCAATAAACATTAGTGCTGATAAGAAGAGCGGAAAGTGCGGGACGTGGAGTTGAAAAGTTAGTGCCAGCAAAATATTGAAGGGAAAAACTTTGTACCAACTTTTGTCCGTGGCTGCTATCCGACTGACTTGGCATATTAGACGGCCAAGAAAACCTTGAACTACTTTGGTTTTTCGAACTAAAAAAAAAAACGAGTCCGAAGGGCAGCCAGCAGCAGCAAGCAAATTTATGAATAGAGCGAAACCTGTGTGTGGTGGAAAGATACAATCGTTCGTCCCGGAGACTACCTAAGGCCTGGAACTGGGACTCTTACTCTTCTCTCTCTTTTTTTTTTGGTTAGTTGTGATCATCGTTAAGTGAGCCGCACATCCGATTTTTGTTGTTTCTTGGGGCAGAGAGAGAGAGGCACAGGTATCAAAAAGCCACGACCTGTTTTCATTTTTCTTTACTTATTTTTCTGATTTCTGGTTTCTTGGTTGTAGGTTTTTGTCCCTTTTGTTTGGGCTGCATTTTCGGGCTGTGTTTCCAGTCATTAGATCCTTATCTAATTTCGTTGTTGCTGCTTCTGGGCTGCTCTTTTCGACTGGTTTTGCCTCGTTTTCATCTCTTGTTTGCTCTGCTCTCTGGAATGGCCATTCATATTTGCTACGTGAGCCAAGCCAAGCCGGTCCGAGCCGAGTCTCGTTCTGTTGTTGGCCTTTTTTTCTGGATAACTACAGAAATTAGCGTATCGACCACAAAAGCAAACACGCTTCGGAGTGGCAGTCGCATTGGCTTTGGCTTTTGCTCTGGGTTTAGGGCTTGGGTCACGTTTTGACGACAAAAAACAGTCCATAGAGAGAGAGAGAGAGATGTCCTGCTGGCCCCTTATCATCGCTATTTAGCATGGCTATAAAGAATCATATTCCCCATGGATCCGACCTGCCTGCCTGCTGCAATTTAATTTCACACCTGTTGGTCCGTCCGACCCCGACCATCGTCTAGAATTCCACCCCATCGAATCGGTGGTCTCTCGTTCTGTATTTCTGTTTATACTCGTATTTGTATTTGTTTGCTTTCCCACTTGCGTGCGAGTTGTTTGCTCTACGTTTTGCCATATTGCTATTGCCCATTTAGGTTGTTTTTGTTGTTGTTTTTTTCGTGTGTTTCTGTTATGGTAATTAGAGGTTGAAACCCTGGTAAAACCCTAAACCTGGGTTTCTGCGCAAAAATTCATTCATTATTTTACAGCGCCTATAAACGATAATGATGATGTTCTATTGCTTAAATGTCCTTCTATAAATATTTCTACTTTATTTAACCATTTCCATTATCTAATTAAGGATATTTTTCTTTGGAAAAAAATGATGCAATTTTCATTAGATTCTAAATGATAATGATTTCTTTTTGTCAATTATTTGAAATGTTATTTTTTCCCTGGGCTATATTCAATTTTTTACGATTCACTCACTCGAATGCAGTACAGTTGGCGGAATAGGCATTTGATAAGACATGACGCACATTTCGCTCTCTCCTGCACTTCGCTTTAATGGCAAGTACAACTGTCGAGCAAAGTAACGGGGAAGAAAAGCACATAGGCAAAGAGTAGGCGTAGGTAGAAGATTATACGCTGATAATAATCTTTGAGGGCGACATACAGTAATGAAAATGGGAAAAGTATTAAATATCAAATATCACATTCATTAATCCGTACACTTAAACATTAAAAATCAGACTCATTATCGCCCCCACCTATGTATTTTTTGGTTGCACTCAATAGCATTACAATATAATATTTATATGGGGCGGGGGGTTCCATTATCAACCTTGGCTAACATCTTGCACTTATCACAAAAAATGTACCCATATGCTTGTGTATTTATAGTTTCCTTAACAATTCTAAATCAATCGAAACCAAAAACCAAATCAAAAAACAGAGCGCAGATATCGTTTGCATGTAACGATTGCATTTTATGGACGACTCAGACTCATTTGCTTGTTGGAAGTCTGCCGGACGTTGGGAGCGAAACTGAAAACTGAAAAAATATATCCAAAAATATCCATATTCAGCTGTGTGCCAGCTTAACAGAACAAAAACAAAAAAGCATCCACACTCTCATCCCACAAATCGAATCAAATAAAAGAAAATCACATCATCAATAGAGAGCGAAAGGGAGAGAGAGAGAAAGGGAGCATCGGGTAGGAGCATGAGCCTGTGGAAGCGCATCTCCAGCCATGCTGACTGCGAGGCTCGTATGGCAGCCTACTACGATGAGAAGGGTCTCTTTGACCTGCGTCTCTGCCTGGCGGCCTGGATCGAAGACAGAATAATGTGAGTAGATCATAATGTGGGTGGACGAAGAGCAGTTGATGACGATTATGGGATGGGAATACTCGGGCATTGATCAGTTGTAAAATTAGCAGCAAATTCCTTAAACAAAAATTCAAATAATTAAAATCCCACTCCCCCCTATATACAGGTCCGAACAGATAACACCAAACTCTGCGGAGCAACTTGAGCGTGTGGCCCTTAAGTTCAACGAGGATCTGCAACAAAAGCTGCTTTCGACGCGCACGGCCAGCGATCAGGCACTCAAGTACCGTGTGGTGGAGCTTTGCACTCAAATCCAGCGAACCTCTGCCCTCGAGCTGTACACGCATTTGCGCGGCGGATTGCAAAAGGAGCTGCAACTAGCAACGGAACAGAGTGTGGCCACACCGGGTCCATCGATGCCCCTCAGTCCCTACAACATGAACAATCCAGGCTATATGGATCAAAGCGAACTGATTTCCGCTCAGCCAGCGGTTGGCGGCGGTTTGGCTGTCATTCACAATGCGGTGGTGGGCGCTAATGGCGGTGGGAATGTGACGACCCTGGGCATGGCCACTGCCAAGATGGAGCTGTTCGAAATCGAGCATCATATAATGCAGTGCTTTAACGAGTTTAGCAACTGCGGCAACTCCCTGAAGATGCTGGTCCAGAACTACAGCTACGTGCTGAACTCCTCGGGTTCGACCAACGCCGAGGAGGCGTTCAAGTGCCTGATGGCTGAGAAGGCGGCCATTGTGACGACCTTGTGCCGCAGCTATTTATCCTACGAGCCGATGCAGGAGCAGATCATCAGCGAGCTGAATAACTGGCGTCGTCAGCAGGCCCTGGCCGGCAATGGGGCACCCTTCAATGAAGGTGCTTTGGACCAGATTCAGCGTTGCTTCGAGCTGCTTGAATCCTTTATTGGCCACCTGCTGGCGGCCGTCAAGGAGACCCTACGTGTGCGTCTCGTCAATGAGGAGCCAGAACTGAACAACCTGCTCGAGCGGGTGAGAACTTCACAGAAGAATTTGGTCTGTGCCGCCTTCATTGTGGACAAACAGCCGCCTCAGGTTATGAAGACCAATACCCGCTTTGCGGCCTCCGTGCGCTGGCTGATTGGCTCCCAATTGGGTATACACAATAATCCGCCCACTATTGAGTGCATCATTATGTCCGGTAAGCATGGTGTTTCATTAGAGACGTCAATAAACTAACCGTTTGCGTCTCACCCTCCGTTTACAGAGATTCAGGCCAATCGTTTCGTTACCCGCGGCACCCAAATGGACAGCACCCTGGCCGGGCAATCCTCAGGAGAAATACAGAACTGCTCCAGCACCATGGAATACCAACAAAATAACCACGTCTTCTCGGCCAGCTTCAGGAATATGCAGCTAAAGAAGATCAAGCGGGCCGAAAAGAAGGGCACCGAGAGCGTCATGGACGAGAAGTTTGCCCTGTTCTTCTATGCGACGACCACAGTCAACGATTACCAGATACGTGTGTGGACCCTGTCGTTGCCGGTGGTGGTGATTGTCCATGGCAACCAGGAGCCACAGTCATGGGCCACCATTACCTGGGACAATGCTTTTGCGGATATTGTACGGGAACCGTTTATGATCACCGATCGGGTGACCTGGGCCATGCTCTCGGTGGCGCTTAATACCAAATTTGGGTCGAGCACACAGCGGGCCCTCACCAGGGATAACCTGGACTTTCTCTGTGAGTTCCAGAACTTTGCTTTCCTGTGATTTTTTACTGATAAATTCCTCTTGCTATTTGCTGAGATTAGATGAGAAGCTGCAGCGCGGTGAGCGCAGTGAATATATTACGTGGAATCAGTTCTGCAAGGAGCCGCTACGTAGCGACCGCCAGTTCACCTTCTGGGAATGGTTCTTTGCCATCATGAAACTCACCAAAGACCATCTGATGGGCATGTGGAAGGCCGGCTGCATTATGGGCTTCATCAACAAGGCCAAGGCGCAAGATGATCTGATGCGTTCGGCCACCGGAATTGGTACCTTTCTGTTGCGCTTCTCTGACAGTGAACTGGGTGGGTGATTGGATCATAAACGGATAATTTATACAAATATATGGATAGACATTTATTAATGAATTTTGTATTGCAGGTGGCGTAACTATTGCGTATGTGAATGAATACGGATCGGTTACCATGCTCTCGCCATGGACTGCACGTGATTTTCAGATCCTGAATCTGGCCGAACGCATACGCGATTTGAATATGCTGCGCTTTCTGTATCCGAGCGATACCAATGCAGTGCCCCAAGAGCGTGATCAAGCCTTTGGCGAGTTCTACACGAGCTCTACCGGTACGAATGGTATATTATCTTCCCTCCCACAGTCGGATTCATTTTTTTGTGTTATTTGCTAATCGTCATATTGATTTTGCTTAGAACCCACGCCGGGATATGTGAAAAGCACGTTACACGTACAGGTACGCAATGCGATTGAGGGTAATGGTTCCATCATTGGGACCCCACAGCATCCCATACCGTCACCACCGCAGGATAGCAGCATGTCCATGGGAAAGTAAGTTTCATTGCATGGCCTTCCACACACACACACACACAGAGCTAACATGCATCACTGACTTCGCAACAAGAAGAATAATCTATTATATAATATGATATAACTCCCACTCCCCCAGAAAAAAAAAAATTATTAAAATCTAACCGCTCCACGAGAAGCTCCGTGATTGGTCTTTCTATAAATTTTATTTGCTTTGCTTTTGCGTTGTTTTGTTTATGATTTTGTCAAACAAGTTTAACTAAGATTGCAATACTTTGAATTCGAAAAAAAAAAAACGCAAGGGGAGAATACTCTGCCTGACTAACCGAGAAGCTTAGCCTACCGAGAAATTATGTAAATAAAACTGATATGATTGAATCCCCAAGCTGGGCTCTTTACAGAGCTCTCAATCTCCCCCAGCCCCCGTTTACCAATTTATTTAATTTAATTACAATACAGCCCCACTTACTGTACTCTTTATTTATTTTCATTCTCTAATTTTATGCATCGGTTGATTTATTTTGGTGCTCTTCTGGTTGTCGTTTTGGTGTACACAGCTATGAGGACTCTGATTCGAATGATAGCACTATGGCGGATGCCATAGAAAGATATGTGGCGGGCACATCACCCGATGATCCCATATTCCATGAGATCAGGGCCACCATTATAAGTGCGTGCAATGATGTAGATTCGGTTGGCTGCGAGGTATAACTATTTAAGTACAAATATTACGCATCCAAAAATCACGCTCCTCGATCAGATTCCACCCAAAAAACCTCTTCTGCTGACTGCTTAAAGCTGTTCGCTCTCTCTCTCTCTCTCTCCACCTGATTGATTCGCTGAGACGCTGATTCCTTCCCCTCAATAAATCGTTGGATTAATCAGTTCATGCTCATTACACCCACTACCAGCATTTTATCAGCAGCACTCGTCGCCCGTCACGTCACATCACGCCACGCAAAGCCACATCCACGCATTCATCAGATCAGATCAGTTTCAGATGCGCTGCTGCTCCCCACAAAACTTTACTAACAATAGCTAGCTCAGTCGTCAGAGATGATAAATACATACATCGTATATAAGCTCAAATTGTATGTCTTGTTTATTTTTAATTTTTTTTTGTGTGTGTTTATTTTCAAAGTATTGCTATCTTTTTAGACTTTTTCAGCCGCGAATTGGTCGAAACGCCAACAAATTAAGCAATAATTCGCATTAAAAATAAATGATTTTCCTCTAACCATTGCTCTCTACTATTCTCCTTTTTCTATTTATTTTGGCTATGAACGCAGCTTGCAGAATAGCACCATCATGCACCTATAAATCTGAGATCTCTAGGCTGAAACCAGCAGCCAAGGCAGCAACATAAAAAAATTAAATTTTAATATTAAGAATATTAAGTGCAGCGCAGGCCAACGATATTGCGTTTGGCAATAATTGAATTTAACAAATTGTTGCATGCATTTAAAAAAAAAGATCAGTTTTACATGCTTGATAAATTATTTGATCGCTTGTTTCTGTTGTAATCTTTTTGCATGCAATCTAAATGCTCAAATTCGATGTTATCGTTGTTAAAAGTAAATGTTAAAAAAAGAGATAAATTTAGGGGCACAACATTCCATTTGCTTTACAACTCTCTGCCATATCATATCTATACATTTATGCCACAAAAATCTAACCCACATAAACATCTTTCCTTTCCCACTAACCATTTTGAACATTTGCACGATATTCTCCAACCAATATATATTTTTTATTAATGTTTATTTTTCTTTCCTTCTAATTTTTATCAACACACAAAAAAATCATCATGATTTTTACTACCAACGATATTAGTTCCAGCGACTTTGCTATGGCGGATTTTGATTCAATGACGAACTTTGTCGATGTGTATAAACTATAAAAAAAAATATATATATATATAAAAATATATATAGAACCTATGTATAAACAAAAGATCTTATAAACAAATGAAAGTGTGCCGTGTGGATGCCCCCGCCCCGACCTAGATGATATATATATGCCCCTTCTCCCTACCAGCAGCGAATGGCAGCCATCGTGGAACTGCTTTTTAAAAAAGTTTGAATCGTAAAGTTTTTACCTAAAATGTTATTGTAAGAGTTTTGGAATGCATCGTTGTGGCATGTTTAGTTTTGGTATGTATTCGAACGCTCTTTTATTTTGTACCTATCCTCCACACCTTTTAAAGTATTATTGTGCACTCAAATAGTTGTATTTTTGTTCAGAGATAAAAATAAAATAGACAACGAACAAGGAACGCATCGAGTCTTAGTTAAAAATATACATCAATTATTGTTATACAGAGTGCGGATCTATGCCGAAAATTTTTACGAAAAATAAGATATTTATTATGCTAAATATTAAACGTTTGTTGTTAAATGTATTTGAAAAGTTAATTGCCGTTTCACGCTATACGCAATTATACGAGTACTAGTTGTGAATCGATGGATAGACTCCCCGGATGGTACTACGCCTGGTTTCACTGGTCAAGGATCCGTTTAGCATTGTAAGACTAGATAGACGTACAGGAACGGAATGAATTTACGAATTTACATACAGAACTACCACAGATTATATAGATACATAGATTATATATTTATACATATGTATACAACAATTATAATCGTGTACCTACACTATACCCTACCTACCAGCTACAATTATGGAATAGAAAATTGTCTTTAGTTTTATCATTTAATCGAACATTGTTTTAATCCATTCTATTCTGTTCTTGCAGCATTTGTGAAACGATAAACAACTGTACCCAAGAGCAATCAATGCATGCAAATTGCCCCCACACCACCAAACACACAACACCCTGCAGATAAATTGTATCTATTACGATCATAATTATGTGTAATCTAATCGAAAGTGTAAACTTTTGGGTTTCGCATGTTATTTGTTTTTTATACACTACATGCATATATATATTTTTTTTATACAGACGATACGATGCGATATATGTTTATTTTTTTCTATACTGTGTGACAAAGCATTAATTTTACGACGAATCGTGATGAGAGAATCGATTTAGTTAGTGAGTAACTATTTGTTGAATCTAAATTTTTGATTTTGATTTTGTAATTTTAAAGGATTTATTTTTAAACCAACTATCAAATCTTAGCAACTAAACTACTTTCGAGTTAAGGTCTAAGCTAAACGAAGTGAAGCAGCAAGGCAAGAAAATTGTATCTGCGTTTTAGTTTTAATTATTATTTACATATTATTGTGAAATGCTTTATGTGAGAGAAACCACCCCATCCCTACTACCCCTTTATTGGCTTCCAATGCTGAAAATGCGCAAAAAATCTAACCGAACCGATGTATATTTTTTAAATTGTTTAATTTTGAGTTTGAGTTTTGCGAGTCCAGGGCACAGTTTGCAATGCATTTCAAATGCAACAAATGCGATTGCCTTTAGTCAGTTTAATGGGTGTATGATATATATATATACATATATATGAGAAAGTAAACAGAACGTAATAATATTTTTTCTACACAACAACATACAACACTACACTACACACTACACTATTCTACACTAAGCTTTGTACCATGAACCGTAAAAATTTTATAAGACTTAAGTACAGGCCCACAAAAATAAAAACAAAAAAAAATTCAATAAATATTTTCAAACATTTTACATGCCAAGAGTCAGGCGATTTTGTATTTGATCTTGTAAAAAAAAATGAATTTCGAGCAAAACGAAATGTTTATCTGTGTGTACGTAAAGTTTTTAATGTTTAATTGTAAAACTAACGCACACAAGCACACACCACACTACACACACACACACACACACACATTCCCCAAAAAGAAACACAGATACAACCGAGCGCACTCTTATATGTAAATGTATGTATGTATGTACTACTTCTACTATGTTACGTGCAATGTATGTGCAATGCTCGTTTAGAAACAAACGTTGATATTGGGAAATGAGTTGAATGTATTTAAATGTTGACATTGTGTTTTAAATGTAATTTCAAAAGCGCTAATTGTGTGTCTAGTTTGGAAATATATATTTGTGGGAAACAACTAAAGAACTATTCTTGTCAAAATGGCCAATAAAGATTTGATTTTTCAAACTAAAAACACAGTTTGTTTTTTTTTTAATCCAGTTTATATATTATTATTAAATGCCAACAAATCACTTTATGCCAGAGGAGCTGCTACATATATTGCTTATTAGTTTTTGGTGGAACAACACTTGTCCTTGGGTCCATTCTTGCAGGCGCATTGACACTGCTGGCTGCAGGCGCAATTGTCTCCGCACTTGGTGGCCGAGCACTGGCAGTCTGTGGTTAATATTAATGGTTAATGGTTTAATATTTTTGTGTTATTTGATCTTAAGTGTAAAAACTTACTTGTTCCACAAGCCTTGCAACCCATTTTTTGTTTTTAGAATTATTTCTTTGAAGATTTAGAATTTGAAATTATGGACTTTGCTGCTGGCAAACGCTTTCTGATGCATCCAGAGGAGAGACACTGTCGTTTTATAGCACTCGTAATTGTTTGTTTGACTTTGCACACCACCAGAGGAGAAGCCTGCTGGTCACCAATCAGTCGATGTGTTCATCTGTGGTCTTATCAGGGGGGCGTGCGCAAAGCGTCTTTATCTCCGTGGGTACAACAAAACGCGTAAAATTTTTTGCGCACGCTGAACGAGCGCAACTGCACACGACTTTCTTATCTAATCAGCAGCTAAACTACAAAAACATACAATTTCAATAGCTCCAGATTGGGTATAAAAGGAAGCATTCTTCAGACAAAGGGAATCAAACAAGTTCCAGTGGTTTAATCAGTCGTAGCTTTCAACAGTCAAATTAAAAATAAATCCAACAAGATGCCTTGCAAAGGATGCGGAAACAGTGAGTACAACATTCTACACTCTTAAATTATACATAGTTCTAATACAACGAATTCTTCACTCACAGACTGCCAGTGCACATCGGGCCAATGCGGAAGTACCTGTGCCGGCAACACCCAGTGCCAATGCGCCGCCAAAACAGGAGCCAAGTGCTGCAAGGCCAAGTGATTGTGTGCTGCCAATTGTTGTGGCACGAATAGTACTTAATTAGTTACCAAATCTCCGACTGATCCTAATGCAAATCTGAAGATAAATAAAATAAAAAATTATGTTTTAGTTCAAATTAATAACATGAATTATTCTTTGGAATTACAAGCTTAAGAACACATTCATATGTATATGGATACATACATATGCACATATCTAGTTATTACACTGCCAGTTGGAATATAAATATGAGCCCCATAACGACTTATTGAGTAGGATAGCGAGCTAAGTCCATGTCCAGTCCCCTAATATCTGATTACTATACGTATAAGTAGGGTGCATACCAGAAACGTTGAAAAGCCAATATATAATTTGTTGGTTGAAATCAAAACCATTTCTAAGAATTTTAAATATTAATTTGAACTAATTTTAAAATGCGAATCCTAGCTGTAATTGGCGCTTGAATTGTGCCCGCGAAAATTTGTTTTTATGTATACCCGTACTCAAAAAAGAACTAAGGGGTATATTAGAATTGTGGTAAAAGTGGTTGTGTTTAAGGCAGAGAAGGAAACGTTTCCGACCCCATAAAGTATATATATTCTTGATCAGCATCAATAGCCGAGTCGATATAGCCATGTCTGTCTGTCTGTCTGTCTGTCCGTCTTGTTGACCGCCTAGATCTCAGAGACTATAAGAGCTAGGGCAACCAAATTTGGTTTCCAGGCTCATGTGATATCACAATGCTACAAGAGTAGTTCAAAATTTCGCTCATAAGATCACAAATTTATATACTGACTGAGTACGGGTATAAAAGTAGAGTCGCGTCCATAGAAGCGACTCCCACGTTCCTTCTCGTTTTTTAAATTATCTTGAAAACGAAAATCCCAAAATCGATATTTTCACCAGTTATAGGACTAATAAAGACTTATAATTAAGCCTGTTGTCTTAGTAAAAAACCGTTTCGGACAACGAGCTCGAGTCGATATAAACATGTCCGTCTGCCAGTCGGAACATTCCTACACATGTATAGCTGGCCAAGAAAGTTCTTCCAACATTAATGCTTTGCTTTTCGGCAAACCTGTGGATATATAATTATAATAGGAAGAGAACCATTAAAATAAATCATTTTAGTTTTAGTAAAACAATCTCAGGCCCTGCCTACATATTTTTATGACATTCGTTGTAAAGGATTTAATTTCTGGTCCACTCTTGCCATAAGTTTGTAATCTTTGGGGTTTATTTAATTTCGAGCCAGGCAAAACAGCATTTGCTCAAGTGTGGTGATGTCTGGGTGACTGGGTGTCTGGGTGTGTGTGTGTGCATGTGTGTGTGTGTGTGTGAGGAGTTAGGTGAAGGGCCATCAGTAGTCAGAAGGGCACTCGAGGCGCCGCAGTCTTTAAATGTGCAACTTGGAGAGGCGAGTGAGCAACGCATGCATGTCTGAGTGCTGTGTGGCAAGGCTTGTCCCGCCTGTCCTTGCCAGAGTCCTTCAGGATGCGTTCACAGGGCAGGTCTGACAAGCAGACAGGTGGGCCAAGTGACAAACAGATTGACAGCCGAGGCCGTCAGTCTGTCAATTCGCATCCGAAAGATGCATTAAGCGCGCTAATTGCAGTTGACAATTTCATTTCATAGGCAGCCAATTGAGAATTGAGAAGCCATGGCTCCTGTTACTGTTCCAGTTCCAGTTCCTGTGCCTGTTATGCTGTTGTTGTGGCAGTTAGTGAGGGAATGGGACTGGGGAATGGTAATGGTAATGGGGATGGAAACTGTGATTGCTTCTAGTTTTGTAGCCCTGGCCGAAATTTCAATTTCAGCGCTTTTAATGACGTTAATCGGCGGAAATGGAATCGCGCCTGCTAACTGCCTTTTTGCACCAAGTCATCAAACTTAATTTGTCGGGAGGTTGAAGCTCAAATGTTTTTACAGCCATTTCCTGTTCAGGCAGGCAGTCAAAATGCCAGACAGCCCCCAACACCGACACCGATACCAAATCGCAATCCGAATGCCAATCAGTATCGTTCTATTGCCTGCCTGCCGTTGGCTATGCATATTTGACTTTGTTTCTGGCCGGAAAATTTGTGTCACGGTTTTTTTTTTTTGGAGATTCATGCCGATAAAAGGGACACACGTTCCAGCCGAAGGTTGCACTTGAATAGCATGGCGGACTGCAGGCCGCGCAAATAAATGGCTCACGCGATGCTCTTAAATCTCTGCCCAAGACAGCACGACACGGCGTACACGCGGCGTATACGCGATTTCAAGCTGCCAGCTGAGCTGTCCGCCTCAAAGCGCAAACGCAAACAGTTAATTACGTCATTAAGTTTTCATGTCACAGAAGCGGAACGAAGTGCGACGAAGCGGAACGGAAACAACTGCAATGCGGACACTTCGTGAGGACTTTGTCGCCAGGACAGGCCGAGCGCTATGCTCTGTTCTGTGCAACAGAATGGGGCAACAGCGGCATCACTTATGCATAAGAACATTTTAACTTTTCGTTAGCCACTTTTGAATGGACGTGCAGTGAGGCAACTTTCAAGGATGCCTCTTGTGTTTATCTTTTGCGTGTGAATTTCGCCTCCTGGCAATGTAAAGTTTTTCTGCGGCAAAATCAAATTATCCCCACAATACCGCACACACACACACAGCAAGTTTTGGCAAGGAACGCAACATAAATTAATGAAATGCACAAAAACTGCGAATGTATTGCCAGGAAAAGTCACTCTGCTACCGCTCTCTGCCCGCCTGTGTTGTGCGCAAATATTCTTAATAATTTATTGCAATTTGTTTGCTAAGCGCTTCAGAACTTGCTGAACTTTTCAACATAAATTAACAGATTAGTTGGCTGCCGTCGCGCCGTGTGGCAACCGACTACAAAAAAGCCCCCCAAAAACCAACTTTCAGCAGGTGCCAAAACAGAAGAAAAATAAAAAAACAACCAGGACGACGATACACACGGACTAGATTCCGGCGGCGGCCCAGTGTCTGTCCGGGTTACAGCTGCTCAGCAGCTCAGCAGCTTCGTTAATTTCTGGGAATGTGGCCATCGAAAAGTTTTTAACCAGCACAGCACGCACTGATAAGCTGAGTAGACCTGCTACAACCTGGGCCCAACGCTTTTGGCCACTATAAATCTTTAACAATATTTGGCGCAGCCTGTGGATCCTCTGGGCTGTTAAATCTCCGGGGAGTGGCGTTTTGCCAGCAGCAAACGTGACTTGTAAAGTTTCACACATTTCCCCCGCACCACCGCATAAAATATTCAGTTTTCAGTTTTAATCTGTTTTGTTTGAAATGCACTTGACAGACAAACAAATAACTTTGGTTTATTGGCTTCGAATACTACTCGAATTTATTGTTGTGGCTGTCCGGGCATCATAGTTCAATCAGTTTTAAGTGATTGGTTTCTGACTTATTGAAACTCAAATTACGAGCTGGAATATTTCCGAGAAAATCGAAGAATTTACTGCCATCATCCATCCAGTGACCTGTGTCCATAAGAAATTATCTGGAATTTTTGCGCAATTTGTTCTTTAAACGTGTCGCACGCAGCAAAATTAAAACTGTCAACTGCCGACATTGATTTCGATTTGTGGCACACATCGTGTGGTCCCAGGTGCGTAATCAGACACGCCCACTGGGAGAGCGGCTGTGTGGCGTTGGCAGTCTGTCTGGTCTGGGCGTTTTTATCAATCGCTTTGGCGACACACATTTAACACGAAACTCATTTTGCTTTCGTTTCGTTTCATTTTCCTTTTTTGATTTGTCGCTGATTTCCCCAAGCACTTTAAAGTCCCCCGTACATTGGGGGTGAATGTGTCACAGCGTGTTAGGCCATAACTATGGCACAGGAATGGTTTTGGCTTTTGGGCCATGATGGCTGGCTTCATGGCGGGCAAACACATTAGGGCAGCACATCCTGCGATTGTGGCGGGGCGGAAGTGCTTCCTGCTCGGACCGCTCTCGGACCATCCCTTTGTTGACAGCAATTTCATATGCACGAATGCACCATTAGACGATGTCACACATAGCAAAGACAAAGGCGAGTAGAAACACGCCCATTCAGGCTTTTTGTCTGCCTGTCACTTCGCCTCCGAGCAAACAAACAAAATTACAGTTTTGTCCTGGTTGACCATTAGATTTATTATAAAACTTTAAAGCAGTTCAGAGCGGATGAACCACACCAGTTCCACTTCTAGTCCCCTGCACCTTCCTGCCGCTCCATTGTCCTCTAGGGTGTGTGTGTGTGTGTGTGTGTTAATGCTGTAATTAAGTGAACATGGCCAACACAGCTGACCTGGCAGCTGTCCAGCATGTATCCTGTGCCACCCAGCTGCATGTCCCCCCCAATCTCTGATTCCTGTCAGTTGCAACCAGCATAAGGTGAGTGGGGAGGCGACAAGTACAAAAAAAAATGCAAAATGTCAGCGACAATTGTGAAGCATTTCGGTATGCCAGGACT